TGATGCTGCTAAGAAGAAATATGAAAAGGATAACAAAACAGTAAGAGGGCATCTGCTTAACCATATGACTAACCCTCTCTTTGATTTGTTTATAAATTATAAATCCGCTAAAGTCATATGGGACAGTTTGGAGAAGAAATATGGTGCTGATGATGCAGGAAAAAATAAGTATGTCGTTGGAAAGTGGATCAAGTTTCAGATGGTTGATGATAAGCCAATCATTGAACAGGTTCACGAGTATGAGAACTTAACTGCTGATATTTTGAACGAAGGCATGGAGATGTGTGAGATTCTTCAGGCTAATGTTTTGCTTGAAAAGTTTCCACCTTCCTGGAGTGATTACAGGAATCAACTAAAACACAAGAAGAAAAACCTAACTCTTCAAGAACTAATCAGTCACATGAGGATTGAGAAATCAAACCGTCTCAAAGATGAGGAGTCTGAACAACTTAAGGATAAGATGAAATCTCTCTCTCTTAATTCTTCTAAAGCTAACCTTGTGGAATCTTCTAGTACTTTTGTGAAAGAAAGGTTTAAAGGAAAACAGAAGAAAGGCCAGAAGAAAGGACATGTGAAGAAGCAGAATTCCTTCAATAAACCGGAGGGCCATATTCAAAAGTCGAAAGAACCTTGCTATGTCTGCAGCAAAATTGGTCACAAGGCTTTTCAGTGCAACCAGAGACAAGGACAAAGCTCAAAGAATGGAGGAAAAGCTCCAGTCCAAGCCAACCTTACTGAGGGTGGTGATGTCATTGCTGCTGTAGTTGTTGAGGCAAACATGGTGGCTAACAAGACTGACTGGATACTGGACACAGGCGCTTCAAGGCATCTTTGCGCCAACAAAGAGCTGTTTCACGACTTTGAGGAATCTGCTGATGGCGAGTGTGTCTACATGGGTAACTCCACTACAACTGGAGTTATGGGTAAAGGAAAAGTTCTCCTTAAGCTAACTTCTAAAAAAACCTTAGCCTTGAAAAATATTCTGTATGTACCCTCCCTTCGTAGAAACTTAGTTTCTGGTGCGCTTCTCAACAAAGCAGGTCTTAAACTTGTTTTTGAATTTGATAAAGTTATTATTTCTCGTGGGGGAGGCTTTGTTGGGAAAGGTTATCTTAGTGGGGGTTTATTTGTAGGCTCAAGAGATTACTAATAATGCTAGTACTTTCAATTCTGCTTATATTGCTGAGTCTTTTGAGTTGTGGCATGGTAGATTAGGGCATGTTAATATTGCTTCTATTAAAAGACTTAGAAAAATGGAATTAATTCCTGCAGTTAATGTTGATAATTTTTCTAAGTGTCCTGTTTGTGTAGAAGCAAAACACACCAAAAAGCCTTTTAAGAATATAACTAGTAGAAAAACAGAATTGCTTGAACTAGTACATTCAGACTTAGCAGATTTCAAAAACACTGTTAATAAAGGTGGAAAGAAATACTACATCACCTTTGTAGATGACTTTTCTAGATACACTAAGGTATATCTTCTTAAGTCAAAAGATGAAGCTGAAAGCATATTTTTAAAATACAAGGCAGAAGTAGAGAATCAATTAGATAGAAAAATCAAGAGACTTAGGTCTGACAGGGGTGGTGAATATAGTACTAATACTCTAGAAGCCTTTTGTGAGGAAAATGGTATTATACATGAGATTAGTGCTCCCTATACTCCCCAACAAAATGGTGTAGCCAAACGGATAAATAGAACCCTTAAGGAAATGGTGAATTCTATGCTTTTGAGTTCGGTTTTATCTGATAATATATGGGGGGAAGCTGTTTTATCTGCATGTTATGTTCTTAATAAAGTCCCTCATAAGAAGTTAGATAAAACTCCATATGAGTTATGGAAAGGGTTTGCCCCTAACTTAAAATTTTTGAAAGTGTGGGGGTGTTTGACTAAGGTTGGTCTACCTGATTTTAAACAAGTAACTGTTGGACCCCAAGACTTTTAATGCTATTTTCATCGGTTATGCTCAAAATAGTGCTGCATATAGATTTATGTCTTTGAATGATAGTTCTATTTGCGAATCTAGAGATGTAGAATTTTTTGAGCATGTTTTTCCATTGAAAAATAATGTGCCTAGTGGTGTGACTAATAATGCTTCTACATTTATGCATGTTAATTCTCATATTGTGCCTTCTTCTAGTGTTACTGCTAATGAGCATGAAAATAACCTTAGAAGAAGCAAGAGGCGTAGAGTTGAAGCTAGATTTGGTCCTGACTTTATTACTACTTTTTGACTGAAAATATTGATCTTGATGTTTTGAGTGATGAATTAGTATCAATCTATTTAATAGAAGAAGACCCTAAGACATATAGTGAAGCAATGAGGTCAATAGATGCTAGTTTTTTTAAAGAGGCCATTAAAAGTGAATTAGACTCTATAGTTTCTAATCATACTTGGGGCTTGTGTGATTTGCCTAATGGTTGTAAACCCATAAGTAGCAAGTGGATATTTAAGAAGAAATTGAGACCTGGCGGTACAATTGAGAAATATAAGGCTAGACTTGTTATTAGGGGTTTTAATCAAAAGAAAGACATTGATTACTTTGACACTTATTCTCCTGTGACTAAGATAGCGACTATTAGAACTCTTGTTGCTGTAGCCGCTATTCATAATTTGGTAATACATCAAATGGATGTTGAAACAGCTTCCCTAAATGGTGATGTAGAGGAAGAGATCTATATGTCTCAACCTGAGGGATTTATGATTCAAGGACAGGAGAATAAAGTATGCAAATTGAGAAAGTCTTTGTATGGTCTAAAGCAGACACCTAATCAATGGTATGAAAAGTTTAATAGCACATTAGTGGATAATGGTTTTGTTGTTAATGCATCTGATACTTGTGTTTATTCCAAGATGATAGGATCAGATTGTGTTATTATATGTTTGTATGTGGATGACATGTTAATCTTTGGCCCTAATGTGAATGTTGTTAATGAAACTAAGATTTTTTTGTCTTCTAAATTTGAAATGAAAGATCTTGGAGAAGCAGATGTGATTTTAGGGGTTAAAATCAAAAGAACTTCTAATGGTTTTTCATTGTCTCGGTCTCATTATATTGAGAAAATGTTGAAAAGGTTTAATTGTTTTGATGTAGCACCTGTGAGAACTCCTTATGATCCTAGCATACACTTGAAAAAGAATAAGGAATCTAGTATTTCTCAAACTGAGTATGCTAAGATAATTGGTAGTGTAATATTTCTCATGAATTATACACGACCTGATATTGCTTATGATGTTAGTAGATTGAGTAGATATACTCACAACCCTAGTAGTGAACACTGGAATGCTCTTCATCGTTTGCTAAGGTATTTGAGAGGTACTATGGATTGGTGTTTGCATTTTAATAAATTTCCTGCTGTTTTAGAAGGATTTTGTGATGCAAACTGGGTTACTGACAATGATGAAGTTAGCTCCACTAGTGGCTATGTGTTCACTTTGGGTGCAGGTGCTATTTCATGGAAGTCTTCAAAACAGACTTGTATAGCACAATCTACTATGGAGTCTGAATTCATTGCTCTTGAGTTGGCAGGGCAAGAAGCCGAGTGGTTGAGAAACTTATTGGCAGATGTGCCTTTGTGGGGAAGACAAGCTTCACTAGTTTCTCTACATTGTGACTCACATGCAACAATTGAATTGCCAAAAATAGTGTGTACAATGGAAAAAGAAGACATATCCGCATTAGGCATGGTGCGGTAAAACAGTTGTTGAAACATGGTGTTATTTCCTTGGAATATGTAAGATCTGAAAGAAATTTGGCGGTTCCTTTAACCAAGGGTTTGGCAAGGAGAGTTATCCTTGAAACGTCAAGGGAGATGGGGCTAAAGCCCATAGATTGAGGAAGTATGGTGGATATCCGTTTGTGGTCAAACGAAGCCATATGAGACCTCAATATGCACTACATTTCCTATCCCTATGGCGTGTGGTAGTGCTTTATAAGGTTGAGCTTATTGTGCTCTTAATGATTCCATAGCCTTAAGGTAGTCTATGTGTAGATAGACTTGATGGAATTACCTACGTGAGTGTAAAGGTGCGGTCGCCTTTTATAAAAGACTTGGGATGTCTTTCTAGAGCACTCATGAGACCCAAGGTATGTGCATGACCATAAAAGCACTTTGTTAGTATCGCAGAGTTTGCATAAAATTAAGGATATAGTATGTGTTGTGAGGGTCTCAATTAATGTCCATTCAGTTCAAGAGTACTTTACTTTGTGGATGTTAGTTGTTGCCTCATTTCACTACGTGTCAATTCAAATCGAAAGATATTGACACTTAAGTACATATTCCTTCCTTTGCCCGGAATTGTTCTATTTTTGGCTTTGCATTAGTGGGGGATTGTTGGAATTATTCATAATGCAAAGTCAAAAATTTCTTTTTGAAATTCCATTTACAACCAATAGCCATGAGTTTATTATCTATTTCCAAGTGGCCTCTTGCATGAAGCCTTAAAGCCAAGTGTTGAATGGCTTTGACAAATGGCTATGCAAATCTACCATATGTCTTCATGCATGGAAGACAAGATACACTTGTCAATATTGGAGCCAAGTGGACTAACATAATGGGACAAGTGTCAAAAGTCTCTCGACACTTGTCATACATGCAACCTCCTTAATTTCCAATAAATAGGTTATGAATTAGCCATCATAATCACTCATTTTCTTAACCAAGAATTTATCTAGCTAATCATTCCTTTCTTCCTAGTCTTCTTTGTGAATTATCCAACACATAAAATACCTTCATCTTCTCTTCTTCCTGGGCAACTATTTTGTGCAAATTCTAAACTTCCAGCCACGAGTGCACGTGTTTGGAGGTGCTGTGGAACCTTGGGGAGCGACCGGCCTTAACGATTTGCACCCAGTCGGGCCGAAATCGCTTTCAAGGCAGTGGCTTGCCACGACACAGTATTTTTGATAAGTTGTAGTCTTCTTTCCTTGTTGTTCTTAGTCAATATTATCTACTGATTTTCCTTACAACTTGAAAGAGATTTCGCATATAATATTGACTAATGGCCACCACTTTGAATAAAACACTTCCTGATCTCTCAAAGCTTGAGCCTTTAGATGGAAATAATTATAAGCGTTTGTCCCAGAAACTTTTAATTTTCTTTGAACAATTAGAAGTTGATTATGTTTTGTTTAGCGATCCTCTTGCTGATATTGCTGCTAATAGTTCTAATGCTGCTAATATTGATGTTGTTGATGATGCTGCTAAGAAGAAATATGAAAAGGATAATAAAACAGTAAGAGGGCATCTGCTTAGCCATATGACTAACCCTCTCTTTGATTTGTTTATAAATTATAAATCCGCTAAAGTCATATGGGACAGTTTGGAGAAGAAATATGGTGCTGATGATGCGGGAAAAAAGAAGTATGTCGTTGGAAAGTGGATCAAGTGTCAGATGGTTGATGACAAGCCAATCATGGAACAGGTTCACGACTACGAGAACTTAACTGCTGATGTTTTGAACGAAGGCATTGAGATGTGTGAGATTCTTCAGGCTAATGTTTTGCTTGAAAAGTTTCCACCTTCCTGGAGTGATTACAGGAATCAACTAAAACACAAGAAGAAAAACCTAACTCTTCAAGAACTAATCAGTCACATGAGGACTGAGAAAGCAAACCGTCTCAAAGATGAGGAGTCTGAACAACTTAAGGATAAGATGAAATCTCTCTCTCTCTTAATTCTTCTAAAGCTAACCTTGTGGAATCTTCTAGTACTTTTGTGAAAGATAGGTTTAAAGGAAAACAGAAGAAAGGCCAGAAGAAAGGACATGTGAAGAAGCAGAATTACTTCAATAAGCCGGAGGGCCATATTCAAAAGTAGAAAGAACCTTGCTATGTCTGCGGCAAAATTGGTCACAAGGCTTTTCAGTGCAACCAGAGACAAGGACAAAGCTCAAAGAATGGAGGAAAAGCTCCAGTCCAAGCCAACCTTACTGAGGATGGTGATGTCATTGCTGTAGTTGTTGAGGCAAACATGGTGGCTAACAAGACTGACCGGATACTGGGCACAGGCGCTTCAAGGCATCTTCGCGCCAACAAAGAGCTGTTTCACGACTTTGAGGAATCTGCTGATGGCGAGTGTGTCTACATGGGTAACTCCACTACAGCTGCAGTTATGGGTAAAGGAAAAATTCACCTTAAGCTAACTTCTGAAAAAACCTTATAACCACAGAAAAAGTATTTATAATCCGTAATATAGCAAATGATATCTATAGATGGCTAATTACTACTAAAAGATAGTGGTTTATGAAAATTTCTCTTTTTGAATTTCTCCCGGAAAGTCCATCTATTTGGGCCAACCCATCTTACCCTGAATAATGATCCAATTTCGTAGTGGGCTAGCAGTCCAATCCAGGTAATTTTCAGATCCAAATCCTAAGAAATCCATCCGCCATGGATTAGACAGTCGACAGTTACCTTCTCACTATTCCATATAGTAGTTGCACACCTCAATCGTACAGTACTCCATTAAATTACTAACTTATTTCTTTCAAAAACTGGGTAAACCAACAGAAATTCCAGAGAAACAAAGACAAAATAAAATAGTTAAATAGTTAAGTATATATTTTGATTCGATTCCCATTTTCTAGTGTCAAAATCCACCATATATCACCACATTGTGCACGACGTTGTTTCAATCATCATCGATTCAAATGCTCGGCGGTTCAATTTCCGGCGGCCGTAGTAACGTCCGCGTTGTCGTCGTCGGCGACCGCGCCACCGGCAAATCAAGCCTCATTACCGCTGCCGCCACTGAAACTTTTCCGGAGGAAGTTCCGCCGGTGCTTCCTCCGACTCGACTTCCCGCCGATCTCTATCCTGATAATGTTCCTGTTACGATCATTGACACTTCCTCAAGGTTCTTACTGCTTTTTTTTTGGAGTTTGAATACTTGATTTGTTGGTTATTCATGAAAGTTATCATATTATGATGAATTGTTTGGATATGATATGTAGTTTGGAGAGCAGAGGTAAGGTTGCTGAAGAATTGAAGCGAGCTGATGCTGTCGTCCTCACCTATGCTTGCGATCAACCTTCTACTCTCAATCGCTTGACTACTTTCTGGCTTTACGAGTTTCGTCGCTTAGAGGTTTTTTCCCCCCTCCCAATCAACCTATTTTACTCCATCTGTGTCCAATTTGTTTGGCTTTTTTTTCCATGGTTAGTGTGTCAAACCCTGAAGTTAAAGTCGAATATATTTTAGTTCAATTTTCAAACGTAAAATTTAGATAGTCAGAAGCTACAGAAAAATATTGAGTATCGGATGGTGAAAGAATACATTCAAAAAATACTGGTCAAATTCACTAATTCCAGAAAAGTGCCAAATATCTTGAGAGGGAGCATATATTCCTTTTTACGTGCCTTTTGCTGTTAATGGATTGATTATTACTTTATTTTCTTAAACATGGAGGACTATGTCTATGGTCACCAGCTAGTTTTAGTATTTTTAAAGTATTTTTTCTGGAAAGTGTTGTTCCTTTTTGTTAATGCAATTTCATTGTTATTCCAAATATCATCTTTATGGCAAGTCGATTAAGTATCACACTGTAACTCTTTTGGATGGGTAGTGTACTTCTGTGGTATGTATTGAGATATGAGAAAGTGACTTCTGTGCATTCTACCATGGTTAGATCAAGGTGCCGGTAATTGTTGTTGGCTGTAAGCTAGATAAGCGAGATGAGGAGCATCATATGAATCTAGAGCAAGTGATGGCTCCAATCATGCAACAGTTCCGCGAGATTGAGACTTGCATAGAATGTTCTGCGGCAAACCTAGTTCAGGTGCGTGCAACTTGTCACTAGGAACTTTTCCTTGCAGATGTTTTATATTTCAGTAGTGTGATGTTTTTTTTAACCTTTACAGGTACCTGAAGTGTTCTATTATGCTCAGAAAGCTGTACTTCATCCAACAGCTCCACTTTTTGATCATGAAACTCAGGCTCTTAAACCCCGTTGTGTTAGAGCATTGAAACGGATATTTATCCTTTGTGACCATGACATGGATGATGCTCTCAATGATGAAGAGCTTAATGAATTTCAGGTCATTCTTCACGTTGATGTCCTCTAATTTGTTAAAACATTTGATTACTTACTTTAGTTTTTTATTTCAAGAAACCTTATTCTCTAGCATTTCGTGTTCCATCAAATTTGGCAGATTAAGTGCTTCAATGCTCCCCTGCAGCCTGCTGAAATAGTGGGTGTCAAGAGAGTAGTACAGGAGAAGCTACCTCAAGGTGTAAATGACATGGGGCTCACATTGACAGGATTTCTTTTTCTTCATGCACTTTTTATAGAGAAGGGTCGACTCGAGACCACTTGGACCGTGTTAAGGAAATTTGGGTACAATGATGAAATTAAGCTGAAGGATGAGTACCTTTCAATACCTTTCAAAAAAGCTCCTGATCAGGTGACTATTTATGAAGCAGATGACTATTATGACACTCGTTAAAGTCCAAGAAATTATTATGGTTATAGTTGACTGGTGTTTGGAAGAACTTTGGCATAGATGCTAGAAGGAAAATTCATGGGGAATATCAATAATAGGTTGACCTGGTTTGCTTAGAGTTTCTGATTCATGGTGAATCAGCACCCTTATTCACATTTCTGATTGTGGAAAATTATCAAGGATCAGTTTATAGGAACTGTCTACGTTCCAGTGCTGCTTCTTTTTTCGTAGGTTTAAGTTGTCTGACACAAATATTGTTTGTTACCAGAAAAACTCCGGTGGTATATTCATATTTGTTTTTAGCGGCTCACTGTCTTTCTGTCAGTTCCCTTCTCACCAATGTTGTGTTTTCTTGCAGAGTCTGGAGTTGACCAGCGAAGCAGTGGAGTTCTTGAAAGGGGTCTTCAGCACATTTGACACTGATAAAGTATACTTGTGCACTGTTTTTTCATGCATTTTGTCGTATATGACTGTTTTTTTCCATGTATTTAATATGACTTGATAAATGATGTTATGCGTCCATTGTTGGTAAGGGGTGGGCTTATTCTGAGTAATCTATGAGTGAATTGATCTCACCAGAACTCTAAATGGTACTAAAGATAAAGGACAATCTGTGATACAGTAAGTCAAAAAGAATGTTCTTAAGACAAAGGAACAATTATATAGTCACAATGTAATTTTCACTCAATTATAAATGTAAAATTGAACTTTGAGGAATTTTAATGAGTTGAGCCAAATTCCAATTATCCTCCTTTTTTTAAGATTCCAAAATCAAACTTGAAGATAATAAAGAGTCAGTAGAAAACGGTCAAACACAATGCGCAGCTTCTATAAGATTCACACTCAGCTCATTGGCAGATCTAAGAACTTATCCATAAATAGCCTTCATGATATGGAAAGAATTTTAGAACTTTATCTCTCATTACAGTCCTTATCTCTGGATGAAAGAGGAGCTCTATCCGTTTTTGACTGCAATACTGATTCCATATTTAAGCTGTGTCAATTTGCAGTGTATTGTCTCTTCCCTTGTCTTGTTTCTTTAGGATGGTAATAAGTTTATGAAGACTAGTAAGGCTGGAATGATTATGCAAATACTTTTGCTAAGCCTTTTAAGTCTTTTGATAATACCAGACATCTTACACTTATTGTCCGCTGTTCCTAAATCTGTAAATCTTTGTTTTATGCAGGATGGAGTCCTTAGGAATTCTGAGCTTGATGATCTATTTTCAACTGCACCAGAAAGGTAAATTGGTTTCTGTGAGCTCTTTGTTGTGAAGTCTCTACATTTGGACGGCTTTGTTGCGCACTTCCTGCTAATGAATGTGAATTATTAGGACACTACTAATTACTATTACAAATTTTGTCCATTCATTGATGGAAGCTGCTTCACTTATACATCCATTAAATGCCAAAGGGTTGCTTACATAATTATTTCAGACTTTGACGAGAAATCTGTCAAATATGCATATGCTCTTGCTTGACACATTAAGTTTGATCGAATGAGACAGACTTCAGCAGACTTGTAACACATCTATCGTGAATCTCATATAGGATGTTGAGTCTTTCCTTAAAGTTATCCTTAGATATGGTAGCTCTGAGTAATTTGTGTGCAGCTAATTGTGAGGATGTGAATTTTCAGTCTTTTGATATTACTAGGGATAAGTTGAATAACGCTTGCAGATTAATTTAGACACTTCTCATTTCAGTTATCTTTTTTCTTTTCTAATAGGTTCTGTAAAATAATATTTGTCATTATCATTGATGCTCTTTGTTTGAATCGTATGACGAGAAGGGTTCTCGACTCTCTCTCTCTCTATCTCTTCCCCCCCCCCCCCCCCCAACCCCCACCCTCCCCTTTGAGCTGATTGCTAACCTGGCTTTTTTTATGTTTGAAAAAATTGCAGTCCCTGGGGTGAAACTCCCTACAAGGATGCTGTGGAAAGAACTCCATTAGGGGGCTTGTCTCTTTCTGCTTTCCTGTCTGAGGTTCGTACCTCGAGTTTTCTTTCTCATCCCCCTCTCCCTGGTTGTTGCATTTGTCAAGAGGGTTTCCTAACTCTTTAAAATTACTTCCTACAGATTCCATATTATTTTCTTTCAGAATTAGATTATTTGGAAATATGCCTCCCCTTGCTGTAATTCCTTAGATTCATGGCACAGTTAACTTGTTCGAATGTAGTAGGTGGATCGCAACTCAAAATTTGATTGATCTTGTTTTCACTTCACTTTTAAATTCTTTTCTACTGAGTAGAAGGGTCATTAGGATATTGAGCTTATATATTTTGCTCTCTATGATTTCATTAATAAAAGGGATTGTGCTAGTCTGCTATATCTGGTTTATTTCACATTCAATGCCTATAATGTTACATATTCTAGTTGACACACTCTATAGGAGCAAAAATAATTTTTGTTAAGGCATTTTCTTTAAAGATCCAAACTGCTAATGCCGATATCAATACCAGTGGGCTCTTATGACGTTGCTGGAACCAGCTCAAAGTTTGGCCAACTTGATATACATCGGGTATAACTGTGGTGCTGCAGCAGCTCTCCGTCTTACCAGGAGAAGATCAGTCGATCGAAAGAAACAACAGACAGATCGAAATGTTTACCGGTGCTTTGTTTTTGGTCCTAAAGGATCTGGCAAATCGGCCTTGCTGAAGTCATTACTGGGAAGGTATCTATTTGAACTTAAGCTAGTGAATTGCTTTTGTTAATAGTTCTT